ACTACAAAAGTTACAAAAAAATCAACTTGGTGATTCATTATCCTTAATGGGGGAACTCAGCTAGAACATAAAGCACACCTTGTTTATTTGAAGTATCAAAGCAGTTTCTAAATCTTTTCTTTTTCTGTATATTCCTTGTAAAAAAAAAAAAGTATTGAAGCCTAAGAGAAGAACATGGAAGGATGGGACTTTCCTCCCACTTCAACTAGCCTACCAAGAATTGTGTTAACACTTTGATGTGAGTCATGGGAAGAAATCAACATTCTGATTGTACTTTGTGCAACCAACATTTTATAACTATGGAACTATTACTGAATCTCTTTTTCAAACGTGAAAAATTCCATACCACAGATACAAGTACAAATGAATGTATTCAGTAATAAAAGCAATCCTAATTAATCTCTAAAACTGAATTTAAAATATTTTTCATTAACAGAATGGATGCATACATGAAGCTGAACACAGAATATATCATATTTAATGTTGCAATTCTATTGATGGAATGGCATCTGCTATTAGAAGATTTTTCCTACATCAGCATCCTCTAAGCAGTTTTACTTATATGTTAAGCCAGTGCTGGCTTAACTGCCATTTATGCCCATTCAAATGCATTAATTTATCTTATAAATTAATCTCTTCCCAAATCACTTTCCTTTTCCCCTTCGTCATCTCCTATTTATTTTGTTATCACAATAATGATTATCATGATAATTACTGCATACTATGTGATATGTAATATGTAATAGTATCATACTAAGACTGAGATAATACAAGTAGCTTTACTTCCAGGCCTGAAGTTAGGTTATTTGTTGATCCCCTGGTGGTTTGCTTTTGAAACCTATGATTTGCAGAAGGAATACAAGTTTTTTTTTCTGTTTTTTTAAATTGTGCAAGCTACCCAGAGTTATTTGAGAGTCAAGTGGTCTTCCAGATTTAACAAACTAACAAAGTTGCTTTTACTAAAGAACCACTTAATGTTCCTGAAGGTACTGCTTTTCTGAATTTAAAATCATAGTTCTATTTTGTATTTGATATCTTCATTTATTCCCTACAATATTGATCATGGCAATATTCAAGGTCATTGACACGATTTAACATCTAGCACACAATATATATTAATATTCACAAAGTGTGCTAGCAAACACCTTACTTTAATTAACACTTTCCTCATTTCATTTTATCTTTTAAAACAATTTCTGTCTTTCAGCTAGACATTTAATTTTCTTTTCAATCCTAAGGCAATGGAATTCCTAAAGCAATTGTTTAGTCAGTCTGTGTTCTCAAGAACAGAGATATTCTAAATTTTTCTTTTAGAAAACACAACTGTTATTTGTAATGGATTTTACTGTGGTTGTTAATCCATCCACTCAGGCCAGAAGGCATTCAAAGTGGCTAACAACAATTTTAACATCATATAGGACAGTGGTGAACCTATGGCACGCGTGCCAGAGGGGGCACTCAGAGCCCTCTCTGTGGGCACACGCACCTCGCTCTTTGGCTAAGTTTTTGCAGGAAAAAGCCATTTCTCAAGCTCCTTCCTAGCCAAAACAAGCCTCCAGAGCGAGTGCGCTGTTTTCAGCTTTGAATTATATCAAATCTGACACTAGAAACAGATTAACAGATGACCTGAGTGCTGCATGTGTTTAAGCCAAGGTTAGACAAATTATCAGAATGCATACAACAGCAAAAATCACATTAATTGTTCAAAAGCATGCCAAATGCAAACTTTTACCTTTCAGTAAATAGTTGTTTATATCATTGAAAGCTTTGTTATTGTGTTTTTCTTTTAAGACAAAAGATATTAATGTATGAATTGTTTTTTTTTAAAACTAAAACCTCAGTATTCAGATTAAATTGCCATGTTGATACTTGGCGATAAATAAGTAGGTTTTGGGTTGCAGTTTGGGCACTCGGTCGCTAAAAGGTTCACCATCACTGATATAGGATTTTCATAAAATTGATAAAATTATCAGTGGGCTAATGATTGTTAAATGATAATTTCATCACAACCTGGCTTGAAAAATTTGTTCCATATTCATAACAAAGGTTTATATGCAGTAGTTAATAAATTAAAGGTGTTTTCTGAAATATTATACCAGAATATAAAGACATGAAAGCCAAGGTTATGTGCATCTTAATTTTAAACTCCAGTGGTCCAAGGAATAAAAAACTACTTCTCAATACATTCAAATTTGTTTATAGTAATCATTACATTCTACTTCTGAATATCATTAATTGTGATTTAGTAAGCAGGTTCTACAAGAAATATGCCCAACAAAAAATATTACAAGTGTCTTTTAGTCATATCTTTTGTAACTGCTACTTTGCAAGTAAGATTATGGTGTATATACCAGACAAAAACTGTTTGTTATTGAACTAAGATATGTAAGTAAATATTTCAATCTATGTCATGAATTGCACACTAACAAACCAATGTTTGCACTAAATGTATTCAAAATGGCAACATATACTCAATGGTTTTGCAGCCAATCCTAGCTCTCTAAGAAATGGGCCCATATGAGTTAACACACGTTTATTAAACATGAAAAGTATTAATAGTTATTTCTTTCTGTTCTACAGATGGTATTATCTTAGGCATAGCCTGTTTCTGTTATTTTAGGCATGAGTTTCTTAAAGCTTTTGATGCACTCTAATGCAATAAGGATTTCTTTATGGGTTCTGCAGAATATTTTTTCCCCACGATTACACAAGCCATTGCCAGGCTAATAGCTTTTCATTCATTAACAAAACACACAGAAAAGGCATAGTGGATGCATAAAACATTTCAATATTCCTAATAGTTCTTGAACTTCAGGCAATCCTTGAGCACTGAAATATAAAATGTTTGGTTAGCAAATGATTTAACAGAAAAGACTGTTGCAGTGCTCAGACAGACAGATCAAGGAATTACTTTACGGTTAGAAAAGTCTCACCATAAATGGGAAAATACGTAAAGTTACCAGATGTTCTTATTTTAAATCATATCATTTATGTTCAGTGTGTGTGAAACAGGATTAATCTGCTGCTCCCCATACAAGATTGTTACCAGATTGTGAGAAAGAAGAGAAGAAATTTAAGTTTTAGCACAGAATAGTTCAACATGCTAAAAGTGAACAGCATTTTTAGATAAATATATTTTTAGCAATAGAATTGCTAGTACTTGCCATGAGTTCAGATTATTTTTACAGTATTATAAACATTTGGGGGGGATATTTTGATTTGTGCTGATCTTTCTGATAATGACAACCTGTCTAAATAGTCTCTCTAGTAAATCTCATATTATAATGTCTAAATTAAACAGAATGATGGGAGAATCTGAGAATAGTTAAGAATTTGGAAGTCTCATTTTGCCAGATGGAGTAGGCAGAAATTGTAGTATGTAGTATATCTACCTTTTAGAGTAGCTAATTCCAGTATCCAGAATTTCAGCACTCTTGAACTGTATTTTCAACTATAAGCAAAACATTGGTAGACGATCCCTACCTATTTCCAAATTCAAACTACAGAGAAAAACAGGAATCCTCTTATAGCTACTATCACAGCTATGGCAGACAAACAGAATTGAGGGATACTTGTTAAGTATTTATGGTTGATTGCACAGTCAGCCAGATGTTTAGACTGGATCTGGTACCTCCCGAATCTTTCCCAAGGACCAGGGATAGGCAAATTTTGTTGTTTGACAGAGTTAAAATTATTGTCACAGGATGTAAGATGTTCCAAATAAAGCTGACTTTTGCAACTAAATGATGGTGATTTTGTCAATGCTGAGGGTACTTTTATTATTACTTGCAATAATTATTTGCGGTTTATCAAATTTCATATTTATTAGGATTAATTCCTAATTAAGTCTTGGAAGTTCATCTTTTGTATTATAGTTTGCCATGCCGCATCTACTGTTAGCTGCCCTATGCTTCTACAGGAAACACAGCTTGACAATTATTCAAAATATCCTATTCTGAATATACTAGATATACTAAACATATAGATAGATTTATAGATATAAATATAGACATATTTCTTAGGTCAAGCATTTCTGGAAACCCTCTGCTGCTGTATGTGAGCAAAAAGGTATCTCTACAGATGTTCTTTGTATACCAGATAAAAAGCCAGGATGAAAAAATTGCTCTGAATTATTCTTTATCTCCTTGTAGTCTACAAAAGATTTCTTGCACAGTTTAAAACAGATCCATTTCCTGACTGACCTTTACAAGGCACCAAACTGGGAAACCCATAAAATATTTACATCTCTTCTGCTTCAGAAGCTTATTATGTATCATAAACACTGTTCATATTTAACTTTCCTTTTGGCTAGCTCTATAAAATATAATTCTTCTGTAAACTAAATGGCCTGCTTAAAAAAACCCAACAAAAATGGAATACGGTAGATTCAAATGTGCAGAGCTAAGGATATTTTACCTTAAGACAGTTAAATTTAGCCATATCAATTTGGCTGCAGGTTTTTCACTTCCTTACTTAATCTTCATTAATGTTTTACATTTGTGATCATATATACAACTAGAAATAAATCTAATAATGGTGAAACAGGACTGGAAAGGAATGGAACCAGAATTAACTGTAACTATTTGTAAAGTATTTATGCCCCTGCTGATACCAAGAGTTACTTGTTAAGGTGGGTGACTATATACAATTCTTAAGTAAATGTATAAGACTCAGGGATGAATATAGAATTACCTGAAAGAGAATTTACAAAAGCACAAAAACACTCCATTATCTGTCTATCTATCTATATTTCCACAATGAACTTCTCAGGGAAGTTCCAAGTTTTTCCTGCTTATTCATCAGTCCAATCTTCTTATTGGCACTGCTGCAATCTTAAAATCTCAATTCAAATTCAGGTTCCAAGCTTTTAAACTGTTCCTTCCTGCTAGAGAACATCACCATACAGTAAATGGGCTGTTTGCCTTTTAATAAATATATCAGTTATTGTTGAGAAAAAGTAAAGTTATGAACTTCAAGTAAAAGAAATTAGGAAAGCTTACCGTTACACCAAAGAAGCTGGTTTGATTCATTGCATCCAAGAAAATCTTTCCAAGTTCTTTGTTGGTGTAGTTAAAGTCTTCAATTTTTTGGTTTCTGTTTGTGGCATTAAGAATCTTCATTGCCTGCTGCAGTGTTTTGGCAATTACCCATATTCCATCATAAGCAAAGCCATGGAACTTACTTGGCTCAACATTTCCACGCCTTTGATCATATTCTTCTTCATATTGCTGTGGCGTCTATAGAAAGAATGTGAAAAGGGATTCACTTTTAGTATGCTAAAAGTCTATACATTGTATTGAGTCTAAAAGTGAAACTCCAATTAAAATTTTTGTAAGTTCTTTGAAGTTATATGAATCTCAAGAAAGATAATTAAGAGGGGAAATGCAAGGCAGGTGGAAATGCAATATTTAATTATTTATACAAATGCACTATTTTATTATTTATATAGTACCATAAAAAGCATACACATTATAAATAGTTACACTGCAAACTTAACAGAGGGGCTAAAATATACAAGAGAAAGGGATGGAACTGGGGAAGTACATGTGTGCATTTCAGTTAAATTTAGTTATATTACATTGGAATTAAAAGGGTGAGTTTTGCATAAGATACTTTTAAGTATTTTTCACTAGTGCCAGAAAACAGGGTACTTTTCTCTTTGCCCAGGATTCAATTCATAACTAAGCATTTCTATTATGCATGAGTACATTTTCCCATAGTAATATTCAACAATTATATTTTTAAGATTTTTTTTTTGTTTTTTTTTAAGCTGGTAAAGCATACCTGTCTGAATTAGGACAAATTTACACAATCAAATATTCCATATTTATTTAAAATAGTCAGCTACTCATGCAATTCAAGTGTCTAATTTTCTCCTTATCACTTGTATAAAATGAAAATGTTTTCAGAGTTGGTTTAGACATTATATCTCATGGAACAGTTGTACAGTAATCCATGAGATCAAACTGCAGTAAACAATGTGCTGCAAATAATGTAATAAAAAGTAGTAGTATAAATGAGCCAAGATTGATATTTTGGCTTTCTTCCTTTTCAGCATTATCACAGAATTTTTTGTGATTGCTTTTAACCTTAAATGTATCCCAAATTACACAGAGAAGGAATTATACATTCCAGAAATTAAAGGAAGCCTGAAAAAGAAATTCAAAATAGCCATAGCTTGATTTTTCTTAATATTAAGTTGGGACTGGGAGAAATTTAGAAAGATTTTAAAGAGAATGTTATTACAATCTACAACAGTAGTTCCCAATCTTTTCTATACCCCGCACCTCTAGAACAGTTCTGATATATTCTCGCACCCCTTACAAAAGTTCAAAATAACGGCAACAAATTATGCATATACACTATAATTTTGAAAACCCAAGTTTTCACACCCCTGGTTGGGAACCCCTGCTCTACAACAATAGAGTAATAGTTCTGGAATCTCTGTGGTGTACACATATGGACCTGGGATACTTCAAACAGAGGAGACTATGTTACACTGGATTCTATAACTGTTAGAAAGCAGCAATCTTCTCAGATAAGTTGGCAATCAGCATATCTAAATTCTTTGTTATAGACAGGAGCTGTTGACAGGGGGACCATCTTCTCCTTGAAAGAATGATAACCCTAAGGATCCTATTACAGTGACTACAGTAAAAAGTAAATTGCATTGTTCATAATCCAAATTAAAAATTTTCTCCAACTATAGGTCTGCACAATTGTAAGCTATTCTATCTGCTGTTGGGTGATTTTACACAATTTATTGAGTCCTTACTTTCCTGGGCTTTATATTTTTACTTATGTTTTCTAGAGGTTAGTTGAAGGAGGAGATTTCTGGCAATAAGACTTGAAATTTTTTCAGAACTTGGCAGACCAAGATGTTAAGTCTGCTTATGGTAGCAGCCCAGCAATTATTCATTCTCTGAGTAAATCATTCCTACTACAAATCTGCAACAATGGTCTTCCTACACATTGACACTTTCATGTCAATTCAGTAAATGGACACTACTGGAAATTCTAAAAAATATGTGTTATATTAAATATGAAATGAGTAGGATCTTCACCATGTTGTTTTGGACATTACTGCCCTGATGACATTCATTGGCAAAACTTAGTTTAAAATAATTGTTTGTGTTCATTAATGATCTAACAGAAACTCCAGTTTTTCATGTGCACACAAATGTACAAACATAAGTCTGCTATTCATCTTTTTCCCCTTATAAATGTCATAGTTCATCATATTTCCCTTCTTTCCATTGCTGAAAAAATTGTCCTATCACTTTCCCCATTCTAACTGTTCAAGCACATGAGATTCCTTTATTTTTTAGCACATTTTAATAACTTAAAATCTCTTAACAGAAGCAGACAATGTTCTTTCATTGTTGGATTTATGTGGAAAATTCCACTTTAGAAAAGTCTTCCATAGTGGGTACAGTAATATTATTGATAATCAGTATTATTAGTAGCAATAATAATCATTATTATAAATAGTTAACTGCTCGCCTTTGTGCAGAGAATTGCTCTCTACAAAATCAAAGTGTCTTATAAAGAATACAGAGAATGCACTTCCAAAGTTGACAGGCTTCTCTCTTTACACTTGAACAAAGCAGTCCATCTCAGACTAGTGTACTTAAGCATGCCAACCCAGATAATAGACAGCTAATTATCAGAAAATTGTATAATCTTTTGTATCTTATTTTATATATTTTATTTCTCCCACACGCCCTTCAATATTACCTTTCTAATTTATTGAAATATAAAGCCAGTCCAGATATTCCTACTTGAAGAGTCATGCCCACTTCTAATTTTTATATTTACATAGGTACAGTATATCAATTTCAGGACTGGGTTGCAATGTATTATGGCAAGAAATCAATGCGGTAGAAACACAGTATTTTTGAAATGGCCCAAATAGACAATAAACTAACTTACTCTTCCAGATATGGTTTTTATCTGTTTGGAACTGAGAGGTTCAAAATCCACTCCAATGTAACCTTCCATTGCACCCAAAAGGTTTATACCAAGACAGGGTGATGAATTCAGCTTTGAAATAGCTTTTTCCCACCAAAAGCTCTGATACCATCCAGGAATTATCCATTGATACTTAGGGCCGAACATTTTTTCATGAAATGCCTGCAGTAGAAATGTGAATGAAAAGAAGCAATTTCATTGGTGGAATGTAGAAGACATACAACAAAAGTATTCTACTGATGTTTTGTGTATTTTAGCTTCAAAAGCTACTAACAGTTACCTTAATATTATAAACCGTAGCCTGGAAAAATAATTCTGTCTCTTTTCATCTATCTATATACAATTCAAACTTTTTGGTAGAAAAGTAAAAGTCCAATTAACTGAATCCTGCTACAATACAAACACCTTTGCATTTAACGGGCTTACAGGAGAAGCAAAGCTTTGACTGAAGATTGCTTTTATAAATAAAACATCCAAAAAAGTTCAGAAACTTTGATTTGTTACTTAGGTTAATGTGCCATTTCAATTGTCAATTGTCTTATCTAATCCACTTTAAATGAGGGCTTACAGTTAGAAAAGTGCAACATTTGTATCTATGATAAATAATAACTACCGTGGGACTCCAGTAGTTGAACCTCACCTACTCACCAAGTATGTTTTAATTGTATCTGCCATTCTGGCCATTTATTTCTAGCTAAAGCTCTCTTGAAGCTAGGAGAGTTCAAAAGTGCTTTTGGTTGAATTGTAAAGTACTGGGTGAGGCGGGTTGTTTAAGAACAAGATGATATAGGATAGTGATGGTGAACCTTTTAAAGACCGAGACCCCAAAACCCGCCCCCTGCCCCTGCTCCGCCTCCTGCCCTGCCTACTCTGCCCCTGCCCACCCCCTGCCCCACCCACCCACAGGGCCATGCACCACCTCCATGGCCCGTTGCAGATCACCCAGGCAGCCTTGCAGCGCCATGGCAGCCACGTCCTCCGCCCACACCCCGCAGTAGAATCTGCACGCTATAGGGCACGAGGGCAGAGTCTTGTCCCTGCTGCCTAGCTATGTATGTCCTTGGCTGTGCTGCTCTGTGTGGGCCACACCCGGGGGCAACTCTTCTCCAGGATGGCTGCTGGTGAGGGGGCCGTGGGGGGGAGGCAGGGCTGGGGTGATGATGCGCGTGCTCACAGAGAGAGCTCCAAGTGCCACCTCTGGCACACGTGCCATAGGTTCACCACCACTGATATAGGAGAACCTTGCAGATGTATTAGCGTATACAGATAGACTGTTGCAGCATCCCCCCATGGTCACGTAATCAAAATTCGGATGCTTGGCAACTGGTTCATATTTATGATGGTTGCAGTGCCTCGGGGTCATGTGATCCCCTTTTGCAACCTTCTGACAAGCAAAGTCAATGGGGAAGCCAGATTCACTTAACTCAACTGTGTTACTAAATTAACAACTGCAATGATTCATTTAACACAGGGGTAGGCAACCTTGGCTATTTTATGGCTGGCTGAGGAATTCTGGGAGTTGAAGTCCACGAGTCATAAAAGAGCCAAGGTTGCCTACCCCTGATTTAACATCTATGGCAAGAAAAGTAGTAAAATTGGGCAAGCTTCACTTAAAAAACATCTCACTTAGCAATGAAATTTTGGGCTCAACTATGGTCATAAGTTGAGGACTACCTCTACTGAGGTAGGAAAAATAGAACTTTGGTCTAGATCTGGAATATTTAAACAGTCATTTCATTATTTATTTACATTATTTTAAACTAACCTTCATCAGAAATTCTTAAGAGAAGTTACACCATTTTAAAAATCAAATTCTGAATTTCCCGTAATTATAAAAGATTGTCAAGTTAATTTGCATCAAACACATAGCTTCAGCTTATTTATACTAGGTTGCAATTATCCCTGTTGCTGCATGCTTGATGCAGCCTTCCTAACTGGTAAATCCTAATTCAAAATTAAAACCAAAATTGGGAAATCATTTAAACTCAGCTTGTTTAAAATCCAAGAGTTGTCCAGTTGTCTGATTTATCCAGATATAGGGTTTAATCTATGGACACCTGGTACAAATTTCTACTGAGAATGGCACTATGGGATTTGCAAAAAAGAAGAGTAAAAGATAACTCCATTTATAACTAAATGGAAAGACTCCTGTTAAACTTTTTAACAGCTACTTAACACTTTGTTATAAATGACTGAATAATTTAGTGAAATTATTTTCCTGCCTTTAAATCTGCTATTCCAGACTAACATACTTGAAGATTCTTTATATACAGTAGTTATTCAAATGCACGTTTATTTAATTTTTCTTCCAATTTTTCTTCCAATTTCAGATAGTGTTTGGCCTTATCAAAATCTACACACAGGAGCCCTGGTAATGCAAGTGGTTAGAATTCAGTATTGCAGGCTAATTCTTCCCACAGCCAGGAGTTCGATCCTGACCAGGTCAAGGTTGATTCATCCTTTCATCCTTTCGAGGTCAGTAAAATGTGGACCCAAATTGTTGGGGGCAATATGTTGATATTTGTAAACCGCTCAGAGAGTGCTGTAAACTAAATTACTATTGAACAGCATGTAAGTCTAAGTACTATTGCTATTACTATATTGGATCCACCTTAACACCAGATTTCCCAACAAAAGCATATATATTAAATTAATGCAGACTTCACAATTCTAACTCTAACCATATGTAATCGGCACTCAGATCAAACTAAAATATTGCACTTATATATCAAACCAAGAAATTTTAAGGAAATTTTGCTACACTGTACAATATATGTTCCCAGAAGTGCTTATAAATATTAAGCATTTAAATAAGCCAAGAAATGATTAATTTAATCATTGGGGTATATGACAAAACTTTTCTTTATCTTTTTCCTTTTTTCACTTACACAACAGAATACTTTTGCTGCCATTTCCTCATTAAACTGGCCAAGGATAATTCTAACATCATTTCCCTGCAAGGGAAAAAAGAAGAGATGTTAATTATTGACATTTTCATTCATATTACTCAAATACTGTTGTACATAGCAAAAAAAAAAAAACCTCTACACATTTTCAATCGACAAACTTCTTTGCTACATGTATCCTAGAGGATGAAAATATAGCAGTGAACTATTGCTAACAAATAATAAAATTCATATATAATGTTTTCATTATGTGTGAAATGCAGTGATTATAAATATAGACTGGTCTTCTTGCATGATTATTACCTATGAGGCACAAAAATCATTACTATAATAACTTTTTTAAAAAATGCTTCAAAGAAGGCTGTACAGTAGGACTACATCATTCATAGATGCTCTGAACCAGCGCAGTTTCATACTACTAATTAACCATTAACTAACTAATAATAATGTGGGCAATAAAGTTAACAGAGATGTGCAAAAGGATTGTGTATTCATATTTTATTTGTTAGCAATAAAATGCCAATTACATAAACTTCTTATGAAACTGAGGCTAAGCACAGAATTAAGATGGAAATGTTTGCTAATTTGAAACATATTGAAAGAGAATATTAATTGCAAAAGATAGCTTTACTTGGAACAGCTTATATTCTGCAACAATATCTTTAATATTATTAAATATTATTATTATTATTATTATTATTATTATTATATAATAATATCTGCCTATCCCAGGTCCTTGATAAAAATACCAAAAATCCAGTCAAAACTTCTGGCTGACTGTGTGATAAACTATAATAAATAACACTTACTCCTTAGATAATTCTGTCTACTCTTGAGCGATGATACTGACCATTTTTGGGGAATCCTGTTCTAGACAGTCTTTAGAAATAATTAAGAGTTGCTTCTAAGTAATATGCTTAGGATCACAGTACTATCCTCAGAATTATTCTGATTCCTTTCCTTTTCTATTAAAAATAAAAGTTTAGGTATTTCAGTTATCCTGTCTAAATAATCAGTTTGCACTTCTTTATGTGGACCAATAGGTTTCCTATTCATTATTACTCTAATTTATTTTTAGTACTAATCCAAGTTCAGTAATATTAGTTTGATTAGGTAGTTTGATTACCCTATAAAGTTCCTGAAAACGAGTGGGAGTTCATTATAGGAAGAAAAACCTATTCAATCTGTTTTCTTAATTTCTAATTGCAGCTATTGCCTGTTCTTAGAAATATATTGAAATTGGTAAGGCTAGATTCTGGGCATCCTCTAATGATGTCAATTTTATCCCTAAAATTTAGAAAGAAAGAAAAAACATGGGGAAATGTTCCAAAATGTTAAAGAAATATTAAGTGGGAATGCTATTTTATTTATTGGTATGAATAGCCATCATTTCTTTTATGTATTAAAAGGTAGCAATGTTAGTGTTCATGTTTATACAGAGACTGTATTTGACAGTCAAGCCAGAATAATAAACAAGATGTTAGGCTTTGTGAGGGGCAGGGGACAGAGGGCAGAGGTAGTAGCAATTATTACATTCTCTGGTGACAGCCTGAAAAAAATCCACAGATAATAACACAAAGAAAGATGCAAACAAAAACACAGCAGCTTAATATTTATGGCTCCATATTCTGAAAAGCTTCAAATTAAAAAATGAGATGAGATACACTCCCATCTAAGGTTAATTTACAATTTCAAAACCAATATCAAACGCTATCACATTTATCTGAGCAAATTAAAATGACAGAAAAATATATATCAGAATGCCTTAAACAGAAAATGTACATTTGGTCACTGAGATTCACACATCTCGGGTTTTTCCAATAATATATAACATACAAAACAGACTGATATCTATGCTTTGCAGAGAAGCCCCCCTCCCAATAAAAAAAGTTATAAATAGCATTAAGAATTTTTATTTGTATGCCCTATTTCTTTCTTTAGGAAAGTGTATATTGGGAAATAAAGTATCAGTCAACTGGAATAATTTCTGTTTCCTACTAAGGAGCCTTTATCTCTTACTTCTGGTCAATCCTGAAGGGCGAATATGTTAAAAATGAATATTACAAACTACCTATTCAACTTCTAGACAGCATATAACATTCGTTATCATAAAGATAATAACAACAGAGACATGGACAGTGCAAACAGATTGAAAAATATGAAAGCCAATATATAATAAATGGGCAGCTTAAATTTATTTAATATTTATGGTTGGTTATGTTGTTAACTGATGATGCTGAAGGTGTTCAAATGGTTTTCCAGATATTTTGGGATTGCACCTAGGATGCCTATTACTATTTGTACTATTTTTGCTTTCTTTTGCCACGATCATTCTACTTCCATTTGTAGTTCTTTTGTCAGATGTAAACAATCAGATCAACCAGAGTCGAGTACAAATTAGCTACTTTATTGCTCTATGCCTATTTCACAGGAATCTTCACAGACTGGCAGCTTTCCCCAAGAAAGATTCAAGGTGAGTCAGATTTGCCCTCTTGTGTTTACATAAAGATTAATTCCCCATTTGAGTCCCCTTACTGACTGGAACGGTTGCTCTCCAACTTATATTTTGTGATTTTCATCAGTTCCTTCCCTTCTTTTGTTTCAATATTGAGAAAAATTCAATTATATGGATGTTAAGCTCTTTAATATGAATTGTATGTTGTTTCAAAATAACAGTGTCAATGCATGGAATGAAGTTTAGAAAGATACACTGAGATGCAAACAACTGCATTTGTCATTGCTGAGAAGAATCTCTGTGATTAAGATGAATGTTTTACCTAAAACCTTATTTCTATATTGTACCTATATTGATGAACGATGTATCATTTAACAATAGCAAAAATATATTTCCAAATTAATTTGGCAAGGCTAGAAACCGAGTATTAAATATTTATTTATTATTTATTTATTAAATTTATTTGCCACCCATCTCCCTGCAAGGCAAAAAATATAACTTGCTGTAGGGTGCTAAAGAAAGAGGAGCACTGAGATTATCAGATCTGAAATTGTATTTTGCAGCATGCTGTTTAGTATCCATGAAAAAGTGGGTGATCTTGAGAATTAGGAGGTTATTGGATCTCAAAGGACCTGGTTTAAGATTTGGTTGGTCTGGTTATTTGTGGTATGACAAAGTTAAGGTTATTGTAGATTTTTGGAACCACTTTATTAAACGTGCTGTATTGAGAATTTAGAGTAGGTATAAAGTAAGATTCTATCCTCAGATACCTTTATGGTTGTTAACTCAAGAAGCTTTTTTTAGAAGACAAATGACAACTAAATCAAAATGGTTAACTTGTGCTAATGTACTGTCTTGCTCCCAAAGAGAACTTGTTAAAAACAAGAAAAGATCTGGAATTAAGTTATATATGTTATTGGTTTTCATATGGTCAGTTAATAAAAAGATTTAAATTTTATAACAATTACAATTTTGAAAATGGGTAAAATTGAATTTGATGTAGGATTCTATATAAATGATCACCACTTTTGCTATGTACAAACTCTTGCTGAAGATGAAAACTGAAGATGAACAACTTAAGGACTGTATTTGTCACCAGATGTCCAGGAAGTCTAATATCTGGCTAATGACCAATCCAGTATGGGTTTCTGTAAGGTATCATATTATTTAATGGAGATACACTTTTTGTCTGTCTTCTCTGATGAGACCTGTCCAGTAGTATGATTGAAACACTGGCACCATTCTCATCTTCCTTGAAGCCCACAACCCAGCCCCACAACCACGTCAAGATAATGCCTCACTAGGGGAAATCATCATCATGTCTGTTCTTATACTTCAACAAAATTTGGCATCTGATATTATTTTACATTTTCGAAGAAAAAGAAATTAAACTTGTAAAATGTGTAGCACACAAAGCATTCTTGATCCCATTACATATAATTCTGCTGGCAACCTGGTTATAACTTTACTAATTACATTTCTATGTTATTACAGAATTTAATGTCAATTATAATTATTTTATATCATGACTATAATAGTAACCACCATAAATATCAAAACCTAAAAGGAAGTTTTCAAACTAAGACCTATTAAAATTGATTATTTTAAACTGCTGGAGGTTTTTTGCCACACAATTAGTTTTTTATCTTAGCAAAATAGTTGTACCTACCTTAAGCTTTTTGACACTGGTACAAGGATCATTAGAAAAACTCTCTGTATCTGATATTTCAATATCTTCACCATACAGAACTCCAGTTAGATCATTCCGTACCTATTAAAGAATGGAAAAAATGACAAAATAAATGTATAGGTTGTTTTATACTGAGCATTTTACTGTCTTGTATGTTAATACTTTACAAATGCACCCTAAGTTAACATTTAATATAGGCATTTTATATGAAATAAAAAGAAGAATGAGAGATGGGTTTTTCACATACTGTAAGTACAGATAGTCCTCCTCAAGTTAACAACCATTCATTCAGTGACTGTTCTAAGTCGCAGTAGTGCTGAGCTAATGGTACTTACACCTGGTTCCCAAAATTACAGTTGTTGCAACACCCCGGTGGCCATGTGATCAACATTTGAGCATTTCATAGCAGGCCCACATAACAGCTGAAGGACCCCTTGAATTCACCCCACCTGCCTACCTCCTCTCCCCATTTCAGCCCTTTTGACAGCCCTGTACAGCTGCACTCTTCGGCAGCAGCACTGAGGCTGGAGTAGAGACCTGGGGGTCTTCAACAGTAACAGCTGCCTGCCATTGACACCAGGGAGACAGTTGGGGGGGAGAGTTGAAGAGGAGGCAGTCCTTTGCTTTACAGAGGCTCAGGTTTGGGAGGGAACAAGCTGGGAATGACTTGGATCCGGGTGGGTCTTCACCTAATGACCAGTGGTATTTGTTAACAATAGCAACAGGGAGTGCAGGATTGATGTTGCTAAGTGATACAACTGCATGACATTATGAATTATTTCCAAATCATTTAGCAACAGAAATTCCACTCCCAATTATTCTTATAACTCAAGGACTATCTGCAGAAGTAAGATCCATAATTTAGCTACTATTGCACGAAGAAATAATTGTAACCTGTGGAAAGTCATTCTATACAACTGTATTGCATCGCTTCAATCTGTAAATCCCAGATAAATTCTACATTAACCTTAAAACATAAACTATGCACTGGAAGCAACTAAATGCAATGCTGAATATTATCACTGAATATACGATGTATAATTTTTGCACATTTTTCTTCATTAATTCATTCAAAGTCACATCAATACTTTATTTTTATTGCATGTAATTTTCAACAGAAACCTGTTAATTAACTATCATATATTTTAGAAACAAAGATTAGATTCAGCTTCATAATAAAATGATTCATGTATGTCTACTTGACATGTAAAAGCAATTTGTAAAAATGTTTTGTGAAAGTTCAAAAAAAAGAAATTATAATGAAGAAAGCTAAAACCAAGCATGTACTCTAATTAATGAGATTTTAAGTTATATGCCAGTGATGGCGAACCTTTTAGAGACTGAGTGCCCAAATTGCAACCCAAAACCCACTTATGCATCGTTGAGTGCCGGGTGGGTGTAGCCCATTGGGTGGGCATGGCCCATTGGGTGATAATGGCAGACTGGGTGGGACTAAAAAGTTCAATCAATCAATTCCAATTTTGCAAGATCTTTTTTTTTCCCACTAGAAGTTGAAATTGACTGATTGAACTTTTTTTTTTTTTTTTTTTTTTTGCACACAGCAGCGGAAGCCTAAAGTGAAAAGGTTTTATAAAACCCAGCTGAAGGCCTAGGACTGGGGCGACGGTGCGTGTGCTCACAGAGAGAGCTCTGAGTGCCGCCTCTGGCACCCATGTCATGGGTTCACCACCACTGTTATATGCTATCCATATAAGTCACCAGTAATTCTGGATGGCTATCATTATCCTTTGGGCCAAAGCCGAAAGGACGCTCAGCTGTGGATATATCTGGTGGTGAAAGGAAAGTCCGATGCTGTAAAGATTTTTTCTCCATAGGAACCTGGAATGTAAGATCCATGAATCAAGGCAAGCTAGACGTAGTCAAAAAAGAGATGACAAGACTGAACATCGACATCTTAGGAATCAGCGAACTAAAATGGACAGGAATGGGTGAATTTAACTCAGATGACCATCAGGTATACTACTGTGGGCAAGAATCCCTCAGAAGAAATGGAGTAGCCTTCATAGTCAATAAAAGAATAGGAAAAGCAATACTGGGATACAATCCCCAAAATGACAGAATGATCTCAATTCGAATCCAAGGCAAACCATTCAATATCACAGTAGTCCAAATCTATGCCCCAACCACTGGTGCTGAAGAGGATGAAATTGACCGGTTCTATGAAGCCCTACAGCACCTTATAGAATTAACACCAAAAAATGATGTCCTTATCATCATGGGGGATTGGAATGCTAAGGTAGGAAGCCAAAAGATAACCGGAATAACAGGCAAGTTTGGCCTTGGAGTACAAAATGAAGCAGGGCACAGGCTAATAGAATTTTGTCAAGAGAATACGATGGTCATAACAAACACTCTTTTCCAACAACCCAAGAGACGGCTCTACACATGGACATCACCAGACGGTCAACATAGAAATCAGATTGACTATGTACTCTGCAGCCAAAGATGGAGAAGCTCTATACAGTCAGTAAAAACAAGACCAGGAGCTGACTGTGGCTCAGATCATGAGCTTCTCGTTGCAAAATTTAGGCTTAAATTGAAAAAAGTAGGGAAAAGCACTAGGCCACTCAGGTATGAACTAAATCATATTCCTGATGAATATACAGTAGAGGTGACAAATAGATTTAAGGAACTGGATCTGATAGACAGAATGCCTGAAGAACTATGGATGGAAGTTCGCAACATTGTACAAGAGGTAGCAACTAAAACCATCCCAAAGAAAAAGAAATGCAAGAAAGCAAAATGGCTGTCTCAGAGGAAGCTTTGCAAATAGCTGAGGAAAGAAGGGAAGCGAAAGGCAAAGGAGAAAGAGAAAGATACACCCAATTGAATGCAGAATTCCAGAGAGTAGCTAGAAGAGATAAGAATGCCTTCTTAAATGAACAGTGCAAAGAAATAGAAGAAAACAACAGAATAGGGAGGACCAGAGATCTCTTCAAGAAAATTGGAGATATGAAGGGAACGTTTCATGCAAAGATGGGCATGATAAAGGACCAAAATGGCAGAGACCTAACAGAGGCAGAAGAGATTAAGAAGAGATGGCAAAACTACACAGAAGAACTATACAAGAATGAGCTTAACATCCCAGATAACCACAATGAGATGGTCATTGACCTCGAACCAGACATCCTAGAATGTGAAGTGAAATGGGCCTTAGAAAATCTGAGCAACAACAAAGCTAGTGGAGGTGACAGTATTCCAGCTGAGCTATTCAAAATCTTAAAAGACGATGCAGTAAAAGTGCTACACTCAATTTGCCAGCAAATTTGGAAAACTCAACAGTGGCCACAGGATTGGAAAAGGTCAGTTTACATTCCAATTCCAAAGAAAGGCAATGCCAAAGAATGTTCAAACTATCGCACCATTGCACTCATTTCACATGCTAGTAAAGTTATGCTTAAAATCCTACAAGCTAGACTCCAGCAGTATGTGGATCGAGAACTACCAGAAGTACAGGCAGGATTTCGAAGAGGCAGAGGAACTAGAGATCAAATTGCCAACATACGCTGGATCATGGAGAAAGCTAGGGAGTTCCAGAAAAACATCTACTTCTGCTTCATTGACTATGCAAAAGCCTTTGATTGTGTGGATCACAACAAATTGTGGCAAGTTCTTAAAGAGATGGGAGTACCAGACCATCTCATTTGTCTCTTGAGAAACCTATATGCGGGTCAAGAAGCAACAGTGAGAACTGGACACGGAACCACTGATTGGTTCAAAATTGGAAAAGGAGTCCGGCAAGGCTGTATACTGTCGCCCTGCCTATTTAACTATATGCAGAGCACATCATGAGAAAGGCAGGGCTAGATGAATCAAAAGTTGGAATTAAGATTGCCGGGAGAAATATCAACAACCTAAGATATGCAGATGATACCACTCTAATGGCAGAAAGTGAAGAGGAACTAAAGAGCCTCTTGATGCGGGTGAAGAAGGAGAGTGCAAAAGTTGGCTTGAAACTCAACATTAAGAAAACCAAAATCATGGCATCCGGCCCTCTCAATTCCTGGCAAATAGATGGGGAAGAAATGGAGGTAGTGACAGATTTTATTTTTCTGGGCTCCAAAATCACCTCAGATGGAGACTGCAGCCAAGAAATTAAAAGACGCTTGCTCCTGGGGAGGAAAGCTATGGCAAATCTAGACAGCATTCTAAAAAGCAGAGACATCACCCTGCCAACAAAAGTGCGTATAGTCCAGGCCATGGTTTTCCCAGTTGCAATGTATGGCTGTGAAAGTTGGACCATAAGAAAGGCTGAGCGCAAAAGAATTGAGGCCTTTGAACTGTGGTGCTGGAGAAGACTCCTGCGAGTCCCTTGGACTGCAAGGCGTTCAAACCGGTCGTCCTAGAAGAGATCAACCCCGACTGCTCTTTAGAAGGCCAGATCCTGAAGTTGAAACTCAAGTACTTTGGCCACCTAATGAGAAGGAAGGATTCACTGGAGAAGAGCCTAATGCTGGGAAAGATTGAGGGCAATAGAAGAAGGGGACGACAGAGAATGAGATGGCTGGATGGAGTCACTGAAGCAGTAGGTGTGAATTTAAATGGACTCCAGAAGATGGTAGAGGACAGGAAGACCTGGAGGAATGTTGTCCATGGGGTCGCGATGGGTCGGACACGACTTCGCAATTAACAACAACAACATCATTGTAATAAAATAATATAATCAATAATAATGCAGATAAGGCAAATATGTTCATAAAATCCAATAAGTACCACTGATGGCAAGAACATATAACTACCAAGACCAAATTCACAGGGAGAAAACAAAGCTTTTGATGCCTTCCAAAAGGCTATCAAGATTGGGTCCCATCAAATGTAAGGGCAGAGATCATTCTGAAGAAGACACACTTCCTAGATCTCACTATATGACATAGAACAAAGGACATGGAAAATGCCTAGAACAGCATATGGAATGATCTAATATAACCAAAGACAAGTAGTCCTATACTGTATTTATATACATGTCCATATGAATAGGTGTATGTATAAAGTATAGATCAGTGGTTCTCAACCTGTGGGTCGGGACCCCATTTGGGGTCGAACAACCATTTCACGGGGGT